ATATTATGAAAAGAATAGTTTGCAAGAGTTTTTAATTAAAATGTATGAAATGCAAACATCCAATCAGATGCACCATGGCTGGAATCATAATACCTAAAAAGATGCGTGCTCCTATAAATGTACTGAAACTGTCTGAAGAAACTGCGTGTTAAAGGAAAGTGATTGTCGTCACAGAGTCTAGAGAAAAGATGAGGTAAAGAGCAAAGAATTGGCCATGTGTCTCCAACGCTCTTTCTGGTAGAGAATTCTCTGAGACGTCTAAGAAAGTATCACAGTCAGCTTACAAAAACTCTTTTCTTACTGAAAATTAATACACTGTCATTATGCTGCCTCTCTGGTAGACAATAAATCATATTCTCTAAATACGAAATAATTATTCTAAATGTTAATCAAATTAAAGTGTCCATTTCAGAAGCTTATTTATAATTAGGAATGAAAACATTTCCCCAAAGTGTTATATGCCATTAGTACTACAATAATTATTGTGAAAGTTATTTTGTAGTTTCTAAACATAAACTGCCCTTTTTTAGTCCTTGATATGTGAAATATGAAAATGCATGTGCATAGTGGTGCTAGACAGAATCAATATGTTTTTCCAATATTAAGACCTTCGGAGTACCCTACTGTTGGAACCCTATTATTGTTATTCAAGAAGACTTTAAGATAAAATGTTACAGAAAGATTGAAGCAATACCATAGATGCCAGTGTGCGGAAATGCCATTTAAAAATCAGGTGCCATTGCGATATAATTTAGACAGATGTGCAAAATAATATCTCGGGGAACGTAAATGCAGCTGTGAAATACATATAAAGAAATATCAATATGCCATAAAACCACTCCTGTTGATATATTTATAGTGGGAGAAAAACCTGAGTTATCTAATGGACTGATTTCTAATGTCAATACTACATTAAAAATGAACTTTATGCTGAGATATTTAAAGCCACTATTGAGGATCCTATACAACTAATGGAGAATGTCCCACTTCTTTTGTTACATCGCAAATGTCGACAAAAATAAGCATTTTATATTTCATTCCAGAAAGATCATTTTATATAAAAAGAAAGCCCTTTTAGCCCACCCCTCTCTCCCATTCCTTCCAGATGATAGACATGCAGTAGTAGCATTTGCAAAACCTCTCCTATTGACGGGCTTAATTCAGTCTCTAGACTTCATTTTCTTATCTATAAAAAGTGGATATTAACATTTAACTCATAAGGTTGTGTGAGAATTCAATTAAGTGTGTTAGTGTAATTTAAAAGATTAGCAGTGTCTGGGACATAGAATGTGCTTGACAAAATGATGGCCATTTATTTATTTATGATTATTTCAATTTTGTTATTTAAGTTAAGAGGCTCTTCGCAAGCTCATAAACACTCTCTTGAAAAGATCATTTTCCCAGCCAGCATTTTCACTTTTTAAAATATTTTACTATATTAGAAAAAATAAGTTTTATTGAAATAGAAATACTGATATTTATCCTGCAATAAATTCTCACAAACTTGGTGGTTTAAGACACAAATGTATTCTCTTACGCTTCTGGAGGTCAGAGTTTGACATCAAGATGCTGGCAGGGCTTCATCCCTTTTGCAAGTTTCAGAGTAGAATCTGTCCCCTTACCATTGCCTGCATCTAGAGACCACCTGAGTGCTTTCCCTTAGAGCCCTATCTTTGCATCGCTATTGCTTCTTTCTTCTGTCCTTCCCAGGTTCCCCATCTATTCCTATTAACGATGGCCCTCCTCCTGATTTCTTATAAGTGTCCTTGTAATTACACTAGACCTACCCAGATAATTCAGGATAATTGCCATTCATCAAATTGCTTAATTTATTAACACCAGCAAAATGTCTTTTACTATGTATGACAATGCATTTTCAGTGTGTTTGTAAGGGTTCTACAGAAGAACAAAATCAATAGGAGAAAGATGATTGACAGGTAGGAAGGTAAATAAAGAGAGACAGAGGGAGAAAGATACTTGAAGGAAGTAAGTCACATACTTAAGTGGCTGACTAGTACAAAATCCACAGATCATATGCATAGGTCAAGTAATAGACTGGAAAATCCTACAGGGTATCTACTGTTTTACTTTGTGAATGTTTGGTAAGCATTTGGTTTGTGAAAACATTTTGAAGACTTTTAGTTGATTGAATGAGGCTCACCCACATTATACAGTGTTCCACTTTACTTAGAACCAGTACATTGTAAATGCTTAGCTTACCTGTGGAAGGTTTTCATCATGTGTCTAGTGTTTGATCAAACAACTGGTACAGCATAACTGGTGCATTACTAGCCTTGATATCTGAAAGCAAATGCCTCTGTTGGTCTTTCCACAAAAGAATCTTGAGGGGGAAAAAAATCTATGATCAGTGCTGTGTCCCAGGTATGTATTAATTCTCTCTAACATTGAAGCCACATCTGGAATGGCAGCAACAATCGGAGTCACTACCTGATTAAGTTTATAATAGTACATTGTCATTCTCCAATACCCTATGATTTCTACATAGGCCACAAAGGCCAGTTGCATGGAGATGTAATTGGAATCACCAACTCTAAATCCTTAAGTCCCTATGTCTTCATTAGGAACATGACATTGCTTTCGGTTTATTTGTCTATCATCACATGAAGTCAGGAAGCCATTGCAGCTTTTTTGCCAGTTGCTGAGTATGTCTATTCTATGTATTCGTTCTAGAAATCAGAATAGCATTACACAATGAGTTGGGGGACCATTGAGCTACACAGTTAAGTACTGCGAGACAAGATGAAACCACCCTAAGCCTCTGTTATGGCTGATAAAAAGCCATAATATCCTTTTTGGAAAATTTGAAAGATTAACAGTACATTTAACAAGCATATTTGACAATATAGTGGGATCCTTTCTTTCGAGGACATGACCCCCCTTTCATTGGAGAGGTTGTGACTCTATAAGCTCGCTCTCAAATCTTGCCATTATTAAGAGTCTCTGGATATTGAACTAGAGCCCGCCTACTTATATACATCAAGTAGGAATTTAGTAGACTTCCCATATCATGAGCTTCAAAAACTTCAAGGAAAAATGGAACAAAAAGACAATGGAGTTTTTCCATTATGTTTTTTAAATTTCCCTCATTTATTTCACTTCTAGAGATGCCAACACCATACATAGACTTCGGAAATTTGGATTATACTGGTTACTATTTTGAGTCTGCTGTACATTATATTAACCATACTTATTTTGTCTTTGGAGATTACATGCAAATGATTACATGAAGGCTTGCAAACCTGGGATCCAATTATCCTTGATTTTAGGGTGTTTTGAGTTTTTAGAATAGATAATTCTATGTAACAGATGACCAATAGTGATACTGGCCACAAAAATCTTCAAGGAAGATGGACTCCATTGCAAATTGACTTCTAGAAGTTTTATTGAAAAGAGTGTCCTCTGTGGCCTCCACTCAAGTACTCCCTCAATGCAAGAATACTTGGTTAAACTGGCATCCCATGATGCTCGCCTTCCCAACATAATCGCTGAAGACAAAGCAGTGTATAAGCAAATGTGGTGAAGAATGCTGATGGTGCCTGGCTATTAAAAGATATAGTCTGGGCTTTTAAAGGCTTGACGATAAACAGGTGGCCATCTAGCTGAAAAGCGACAAAGTCCACATGGAAGAAGAAGCACACCAGCCTGCATGATCACGAGATGTCAAAGGGATGAGGTATCAGGCATCAAAGAACAAAAAATCATATCATTGTGAATGAGGGGAAGTGCGGAGTGGAGACCCAAAGCCCATCTGTAGACAATTGGACATCCCTTATGGAAGGGTCATGGGGAGGAGAAGAGCCAGTTCGGGGTGCAGTGCAGCAGCAATGAAACATGCAACTTGCCTCTAGTTTCTAAATGCTTCCTCTCCCACCGCCAACACCCCACTATCATGATCCCAATTCTATCTTACAAATTTGGCTAGACCAAAGGATGTACACTGGTACAGGTAGGAACTGGAAACACAGGGAATCCAGGACAGATGATCCCTTCAGGACCAGTGGTGAGAGTGGCAATACAGGGAAGGTGGAGGAATGGTGGGGTGGAAAGGGGGAACTGATTACAAGGATTTACATATAACCTCCTCCCTGGGGGAAGGACAACAGAAAAGCGGGTGAAGGGAGATGTCGGACAGGGAAACATATGACAAAATAATAATTTATAAATTATCAAGGGTTCATGAGGGAGAAGGGAGCAGGGAGGAAGGGGAAAAAATGAGGAGCTGATGCCAGGGGCTTAGGTGGAGAGCAAATGTTTTGTGAATGATGAGGGCAATGAATGTACAAATGTTCTTTACGCAATTAATGTACGTATGGATTGTGGTAAGAGTTGTATGAACCCCTAATAAAATGAGAAAAAAAGAAAAGAGTGTCCCCTGACTCCTGATGGTGTAGGATTGACTTATGTTCACTCTAACTTTCTCACCTTCTTAAGCTATTGGGTGTTTTTTCCCTACATTACAACTAAGTACTCCTGATATCAATTTACTAAGTGTGCCTCCCCTTTGGGTGTATGTTTTGGTGCATCAGGTAATCTATTAGAGCCTATCTACAGCTTGACATTCCCTTCTTTCACCTGATTCCACACTCTTAATATCCATTCTCACGTATCTTCTTCAGGTGTTTATGTGCCTAAAAATATTCTTCAAGATTTAGTTATTCTGGGATATGGGACCCTTTCTCATGAGTTATGCACATTTCAGGATCTGCCAAGGCTTAAGTCTGGTTTAGACTGATTGCCACAAGTTAATTACCACTCCGCTTGACACACACAGGGTTTCAAAGATTGTACACCTTTATGGAAGTAGACAGCCTCATCTTTCTCCCATAAAATGACTGGTAGGTTTGAATTGCTTGCTTCCCAGTTATGTTATAAGTCTAATATTTAATGAAAAATCTTGGAGTCAAGAGGAGAATGAACATTATATTGACAAGTACACTGTTCTTATACAACTTAAGGGCTCTCATTGCAAGTTTTTCAGGTGAAGCAGATCTAATCTCTTATGGGAAGGGAAGGGCAGCTTCTACTAGCAATGAAGACACGGCAGCATTTAGAGGTTCAACATCCCAGGATTTCATCAGGATTTACCCATATGTCCTCCCTCAAATTTTAAGATTCTCATTCTTCCCAATCAGACACCCTGTAAGGAATTAAATTACATTGTAATTCAACCACTCGAGCAATGAGACCGAGTTTCATTTCCGGTACTCTCAGCTCTGTGACTAGAGGATATATGATTTTATGTCATAGCACACATGAAAATTCACAGGTTGTCTATGCCGTCCTAAAGCTTGGGGTCTGAAGACCTGAGCTTGTCCTTTTCTTCTTTGATTTTTTGCAGCTCAGTTAAAAGGATATTTCTGTTACACTTTAATGCACTATTACTTTCTTTGTGAAATTTGAGGTTTTTCTCTTAAGACCTTTTACTAATTGGATGAGATCTATCTGTCCAGACGATTGAGTTTACTCTTCTTTCATTAGAGTCAATTGACTTTGGTCTTAATCACAGCTACAAACTACTTTCATGACAAGTTTTGTGTCTACACACACTACTGTGTGAGCAAAGAACAGTGTGAGATAGTCAAGCCAATTTGATACAAAAAATAATCACACACAGGTTTCAAAGATTAGAATGTAATAATCTGTCTTTCATCTCTAAATATTTTTTTGTAATTACAGTTTAATGTTTAGTAGACATTCTGATACCTAATATGTTTATTTTATACTTATCATTTAACATTATTTTACCATATATAGATAATTCTCATTTTTTTGTGGTATGTCACTCTGAATATTGAATGAGCAAATACTGAACCATTGGCTCCTAGGGAAAATAGAGTCATTTTCCCGAAGCCTCTGCTCAAAACATTCATCAAACAATCAATGCATAATTTGCTTTATATGTGCTCCATTTAAAGACACCTTATTTAACAGATATAGTTGACTCATTAACATTGAACTTATTATGGTCCACAGCACTGTCACTCATGCTTGAATATCACTTATCTAATGCACCTACATTCTTGGAAAGACATCTCTCTAGCCTTATTGCCTTAGAAAATGAAAATAGGCCTTCACACTACTTTTTGGAATAATTTTAAACAATTGAATCATTAACAATAAAGAGCCTAAATGTAATAACATGGAATTACCTGGACAACTGCATGAGGGCAGAAACAAAAAAGAAGAGTTTTGTTTGTTTGACTCAACTGAGGGGGTACATTTTGGGCAACTCAAATTTTCAGCACTCCGCATGAACTTGAGACTGACTTTGAAAGCCTCGTGAGTGTTCATTTTAAGGTTACAAGTACATCTCAATGAGTGGGTATATTTACAAATATGGACTAGGTGAGTAAGATTGACTATATTTTTAGGATGTTATGAAGCAGAAGAACTCAAATCCTTTGTAGGAAATTGTGTCATTCAGCATTAGACAAAAACTAACACCAAGAAGATATAATATTCTTAAAATTGATAACTAAGTAAAAGTTGTCTGGTGATGAAATTTTGGCAGTAAAATGATCAGGCCTTTTCATTTCAGATGTGGACTGTGACTATTGCACGATGTTTCTGAGACTATGACTCTGTCACTACTTGACTCTCCCATTGCCTAAAACTAACCACAGCCAACTCATCACTAACTCAGACTAAGTTGCTATAAATAAAACTGATTTTAGAAAGCCTTGGTGTTATAATGTTTAAGTGGTTAGCTGCTAATTGAAATGTGGGCGGGTTGTACTCATCCGCGGACTTAGTGAAAGAGCCCTGATCGAAGTGTTAGAGATTCAAACCCACCAGTTGGAGAAAGATGAGGCTGTCTGCTCCTGTAAAGATTTACAGATTCAAAAATCCTAAACCGGGTCTCTCTGAGGAACAGTAAACTCACCGACATTGGGTTTGATTTGGTGGGTTGAATGACTTAGGTGGGGGAAAAGCTTGCAATCAGCTCCTATAAAGATTGCTTCTTAGCAAAGTCTCGGGGACATTTCTTCTCTGTCACATGGAGTTGTTTGAGTGCAAATCAACTCAGTCGTGTCATACAGCAACAATAAGGATTATAGAACAGGCCTCTAGTTTGGTCCGCAGGTTGTAGTTTTCTGGCCACTGCGGAAAAATAAGCAGAGAACAATATTGATTTTAAAATGAAAAGGTACTCAAGGCAGCATGCCATACAGTACTCCCTGGTTAATACTCGCGTATTAAGAGAGCACGTGCATTTTCAAAGACGATGTGGCTGCCGTTCCGACTACTCTCCGTGCCTTCTCTTAAGGGGCAGACCAATGTTATACAGCCAAGTGAAGACATAACAGTCACATACATTGTCCAGTACTTGCCTCACTTGAATATGTTTTCTACCTTCCAGTTCATGCTTAAGACTAAAAAGTATATATAGAATAATACAATCAAATTTAAAATCTGTTGTCTTATCTCAATCTTTATAGGTAGCCTTCTCACAGACTTACAAATAGTAAATATTTGTATGTAAATAGTGTTGTGCTAGTCTAGTTTGTATGAAAGTGAGGGATTTTAAAAGTAAACAAGAAATAAGGAAATTGGTAAACAAAAGACTTTCTAATCTACTAGCGATAATTACATTTTTAAGTCCTTGAAAAAAATATTTTTTTCTTTACAACTAACACTTGACGGTGCCCTACCCATTAATTTAGGAATTAGTTATGATTTTAAAAAAAGAGAAAACGACTTTATACAGTTTGGGAAAATGCTAATTAAATTGATTCATACTTTTTGTCAGACCAGCTGGACTCTTTTACTGTGGATTTTTGGGGGGTGGGGTGGGGGTAGGAGCAGGGAATTTATTGAAATTTTGTTAATTTTTTCAGTTAAACTTGAAGACTACTATATTAAGAACCTCCTAGGAAATCTCCGATTGGAATAATTTCTTTTTAAAATTTTCTAAGACAAATAAAGCTTACATACAAATTGGCTGGAATACAATGAACAATAGCCCTCAAAACCCTTAAAGCAGTGTCATCAAATGTCACGTGTGTATTACGATGGCTGAAAGGAATGAAGTAGTCTGAATAGAATAGGATAAACCATGGTAGCTAGTATGGGACTCGCATAAAAACCAGTAAGGTATATAGGGGAGAAATACGCATTTTTCCCGAAGAATTAGAATAGCAATTGTTCCAAATAAGTTCACCCAGGAAACACTGTCATAGCCAAGACTTGTGAATTTACTACTAGGGACAATGATGGGTGATTGTCAAAAACATTGTTCTGTTCCCCCTGGAAGGGTACTTGGGTGCAAAGATTATGAGTAACCCCTGAAGGTATAACTATTTGCATCTTTCCAGGAACATGAGCAAATGCTGAGTGACAGGTGATTCCTTGCTGGAGACAAAAATAACTCCATCAGGCCAAAATGTACTCACACCTGAGAATGGTTGTGAACTCTATGAGAATGTTTGTTAGTGAAAGAATATTCATCAATTATGAATCATGGAAACATCTTGAGCCTGTAGTCATTGTGTCCTAGAACTGTCCCTGCGTTTGAACTTTTGTAAAGTTCCTTGTTTGGGGTGCAAAGCAAAACTGGAGAGTAGAGACACATGGGAGAGTCTCTCTTGAGTCCCTTTCCTTTGCTCTCATGACTAAATCTGGAATCTTAAGAAGTTATTCCATGCATCTCAGGAAGCGCCCGACTGGCTAGAATGGTAAAAAATGGTGACCCTGATGTGATATAATTCCATAAGAATTAAGTAAATCATTTCCCAGTAATAGTTATCATGACTTCTATGGCTTGGAGAGCATCAACAAAGCCCCAAAAGAAATATCAATGGATGGAAGTCTGTTCAGGCAAGCATCCCACATGTTAGCTTGAAACTTAGTTGTGCTCAACCTAAGGTAAAAGCATATCATACCTTGACAAGAAGGGAGTGCATGTGCCCAATCATTTAGAAATAAAGTAATCATAATGGAAGTTAAATTTGATCTTCCTTATGATCTCCTTAAATTTGTTCCAGTTCTTAATCTTTTCTGCTTTCTTTTTGATTGAGGCCTTCATCCATTTAATTTTGTTATTCTTGTTAGTTTTTTGTTGTTGTTTGTTCTTTAATGTTTTTCTGTATTTGAATTACAGGATAAGTAAATCTATAGAGACAGAAACGGGAATGATGGTTCTTTGGGGGCAGGCCAGGGGAGGTTGGGGTGATATAGGGAGCTAATAACTTTGAGTACAAGTTTAAAGAAAACGTTCTAAACTTGATTATCGTTATGATTGTACAACTCTTCTTGATGTGCATGGACATTCAATGGTATAAGAATTATATGTCAATAACTGTTGGAAAAAATACATTTGAAATAAGAACTGCTGCTTTACCACATACTCAAAGGATTTGACCCACATATATCCTTGTTTTCCTCATTAACATCCATGAGAGAACATATCTAAGAGGAACTAAACAAAAGTAAATATCAAATAAAAAAGTGGGATTAAATAAAATTACCCCCAAATAAAGGCCTAGACTCAAAGGAGAGCGATAGCTATAACAAGGGCTCTTGTTCTTCATTATTGAAATCTGTGGCACTCTTTTTGGAACTTAAGACTGAAATAAAATGAGAACAGCAAGGTTTTAAAAACCTTTATGTAAAGTACTGATGAAATATCTCACAGAAGGACTAATTAAAAGACAGTACATGTTCATGTATTGAAATTTTCAGTATAATTCCTATTTCTTCCTGGCTTGATGTATAGATTCACTAGAAGTACTATCCGAATTCAGACAAAACATTTTTAGATACCTACAAATTAATTCTAAAATATATATGCAAAGGCAAAAGATCTAGAATGGCCAACAGAATGTAAAAGAAATAAATTGGAAGGCTGACACTATCCAGCTTCAACACTTTATATAGTATTATAACAATCAAAACAGCAGAATATTGATGAAATAGAAAAGTAGGCCCATAAAAATTGCCAATTGATTTTTGATTAACCAAATTGGGAAGTAAATTCAATGAAAATATTTTGATAAATTTTGATGTAACCATTAGATGTTGATCTGCAAACCATAAGTAAACAAGCAAAACCAGTTAAAGTCATTATATTTTACACAAAAAATGAAACATGGACCTAAAAGTAAAATTAAAAATTGTCTAGAAGAAAATGTAGATGTATATTGTTAGGAATTGAATTATATCCCCTCTAAATAGTTCCTGAATCCAAATCCCTATACCCATGAAAGTACATGCAGTGTAATTAATGACCTTACATCTAATGTAATATAATTATCTTCCATAACAAAATCTAATATAATGTGATCGGCCAATCAATTTAGATCATGCCAGTGGAGGGTGGATCTTAAACCTAATTACTCCTAAGTTGTAAAAGACAAGACTAGACACAGTGACACACAGGGTTGGGAGAGAGAGATGCCATATGTGGTTGCCAAGGAACCAAGAGCTATCTGGGACACTGCCTACAGGAAATTCACAGAACCGAGACCCTCATTTGGACTCCACAAGTTTGAGAAAAGACATGTTTGTGTTTTGTAGCTGCACGCTTACAGTATTTGTGTTATAGTCTCAAAAGCTAAGCAAGAAAAATATTTACATGACCTCAGGTTCATGATGAGTTTCTAGACACAATACTCAAAGCACAGTCCATGGCAGAAAAACGTGATTACTTAATGTTTTCAAAATTAAAACTGTTTTTCTGTAAAAGATACATGAAAGAATAAAAAATAAATTTCACAACCTGGGGAAATATATGCAAAAACAGATATATTATGCAGAAATAGGAAAATTACATGTTGTCAACAATAAGAGAAAAGCACACATTTAAATTAGGAACAAAGCATAAAGCAATAAAATTGTAATGCAGTTGTCTAAAGTTCTAGGCTTCAAATCAAGAGGATATCAGTTCAAAGCCACTAGCTGTCTACTGAAGATATGTAGCAATCTGCTTCCGTAAAGATCACGGGCTTGAGAACCCGCCTGCACATTCTGGTCATGCTGGAAGGTCGCTAGAAGTCTCAATGTACGCAAAGGCAGGGATCCTGGTTATAAAACTGAAGTAGACTTGGAGTTTCTAGTGCCATACAAATTCATTTCAAACATATGAAAAAAATATATCCTGCACAAATTCCACATGAGCACAAATACTTTTTTGGATTCTCCTTCTTCTCAAGGTTACTCGCAGTTTATTATGGTCCACACAGGCCAATGCCTTTGCATCGTCAATACAACACATCTTTTTTTGTATTTTCTGCTGTAAGCCAGGATCCATCTGACATAAGCAATGACATACCTTCTCTTCAGAAGAATACAAATGGTGAGAGGATAAACTCTGACACGCACCTTTCTGAAGTTCTCTTATCAATCAAGACTAAAGTTCTGGTAGCTCCAGGTCAGGGCACTGCTGCAGCTACTATTGTATTTCTTTATCAAAATATTACTTCCCTGTGCTATTAACGGTATTGTTCTGTAAGCTGAGCATGCTGTTGGGTTACCTTTCTTTTTGTTAGGTACAACTATGGATCTTTTCCCTCCAGTTGGTCAAGGAGCTGTCTTCCAAATTTCCTAGCTTAAATGAGTGAGTGCTTCAGGGCTTCATCAGCTAGTTGAAAGACTGCAATTGGTATGCTATCCATTCCGGGAGCCTTGCTTTGCCTAATCATTTCAGAGCAAGGCCGATTTCTTCCGTTAGTCCCACTGGCTCTTCATCATATGCCATCCCGTGACAAGTTTTAATGTTGACTAATTCTTTTAGGTATAGTGACTCTGTGTATTCTTTCCTTCTTCTGTTGATGCTGCCTGCATTGTTCAACATTTACCTTCTGTTGTTGTTGTGAATGGAATTGATTGGATGAAACACTGCCAAGTCCTGGGCCCTCCTCCTGTTCAAGTCCACTGTTGCAACCAAGGTTCAGTCCACCTCCTTGAAGGCCTTCCTCTCTTTCCTGTACCTCTACTTCACCAAGAATTATGTCCTTCTCCAGGGACTGAACTCATCTGACAACTCGTCC